TTTAAACATATCCACTTAAAAATTCATATGATATGATACTGTCTGTACTTGAGAAGATTGCTGCAATTCTTCAAATCCTTTTCAGGGATGTGTTTTTATTTAGTGACTTAAGGAAGGGGTATGCAGAGAAACATAGGAATCATCTTTTTTATCTGGCACTCATCACTCAGCCCTATAGATTTCATTTGCTAAACTCATGCTTGCTTCAAACTGCAGCAGAAATTGTGTGATCCTCCCTGTACTAGTCTTCAAACTCGATAATTTGTCTATTTGAGTATTTGTAATAAAATACCTTTTCTTTCTGCTGCTCAACTAGATAAGATGCTACAGCAAATTATCATTATGAGTTAATTATGAGTGAGACATAGTCAGCCATATTAATGTCCTGTGAGGTAACAGAAAAAATGAAGTAAACAGTAAATATCAGAAAGTGAGCATTCAGCATCCAGCTATGTAAGGATTTCTACTTTATTAAAAAGGCAAAAAAAGGAGGTAGTTATTAACTGTTTCCATAAAGGTGCTTAATCAGTTAAATTTATTCTGCAGCATCTCAATAGAAGTTTATGCATGTGATAGACTTCAATGTAAACTGTTAGATATTTATTTTTGAGATGTGTCTGATTCTACTTTCGAAAGTGTAAAAGTGCATAAATTTAAATATTAATCAAATCTTAATAAAAATTAGTATCTTGACATTCAATAAAAAGTTTTTACCTGTTTTCAAGATAGTATGTGTTAACCTAGGAAGTTAATTAGATAACTTAAACCCCCCCTATTATTTTCTCTAGGAGTTTACAGCTAAGTCCTGTTCCTTCAAGGACACCTAACTTATCTGAATTATCTTTTCAATTATATTAGTGGCAAATTCCTGTAGACTTCCCATAGTGTAGGAACATGCATTAATAGAGTTAAGTAAAGGTTCTTTTAGTAATTCACTTTTGCTCTTTGTTTTAGGCTGTGGGGTTTCATCAGCCTGGCAGCATCAGACTTGCTACAACGCCAACTAGGGTGGATGAATTCAAATACCAAATGACTCGTGCTGGTTGGCACCTGACAGAACAGTACCTAATCACACCTGAGAAAGTGCAAGAGCTATTTCCCTTATTGAACATGAATACGGTAAAGAACCTAATTTTGTGAAAAATAACTTCCATTGCAATTAAATATTAGTTTATCAGCTACGTAGGCAGAAGGTATCTTCCCTTTGTACAAACTGTACAAGAAATTCTTACTTTTCAGTGAAAAAAAGGTGCATTATGAACTAAAATCCGACTCGTGCATTTTAGTGTATACTGTATGCCAATGTGCAGTGTTAATTATAATACATATAATATTATAATTTTAAAGCATTAAAGCCTTTGATTGCATGGGAGAACTGAGCAATTTTATTTCATTAGATCATTATTAAGATTGATAGCTGTAGCCCTGATACGATATGTTTTGAAAATTTGGCTTGATTTGACTCTTTAAGGTTTACTGCCTTCAAGAAATAAAGTGAGGGTTTAAAACTTACTTAATTTTTACGAATTTTCATTTCTGTCATTTTGTGGGTTTTTACCTCCCCTTAGGTTTTAGCTGGCTTGTATAACCCTGGAGATGGTCATATTGATCCCTATTCTCTCACTATGGCCTTGGCTGCAGGAGCCAGAAAATATGGTGCACAATTAAATTACCCAGTCCAAGTGACTAATCTGAATGCCCAGTCAGATGGGACATGGGAAGTTGAAACTCCACTTGGAATAATTCGAGCAAAGAGAATTGTGAATGCTGCAGGTAGGATTTAACATAAGTATTTGTATACTCTTCAGATTTACAGGCTAGCTGAGACAGAACATCTGTACTGAATTGTGTATATTACAGGAATAAATAATAGAGGTTTTTTAACATTCACTTGGTTTGTGGTAAAATGTCCTTGGCATGCATGAATTTACAGTATTGAGAAATTTTTGCCCTTATGTTAATTGTCTGTGACTGGGCACTAAAAATACTTCTTTCTGCTTTGTCTCCAGTAGTTACTAGACAGAGTGTCTTGTTAGATTTTAATAGCAGAATAGACCTTTACTGGTCTGCAGTAAGTTGTGTAGAAGAGAGGTTACTGTCTATGAGTATTGTCCCCTAAGATTTTATGCAAGTTATTTAGGAATGGAGATGGGATGTACAAATAAAGTAGAAATGTCTTCACTGTTTTTTCAAAGGCACTAAGGATTTGCAGCAATTAAGATAACCCTGCCTATTTCAGTATTATCTTTCTCCACAATTTAACTCTATCCACATATCCTTAAAACAGAAGATTTTTGTTGCCCTTTGAGAAATATTTTAAACATGTGCTTGGCTTAACAATACATTTTTTCACATAATAAAAATTTCTAACTCAAAGGATCTTGTATTTACATGTGCAATTTTTATTCTTCATTGTGTTAAAGAAGCTAAACTGATGTTTCTGCCTCCAAGAGCTTTTGGGTAAGAATACTTTGGATTTGTGGATTTTCTCCTGAACAAGTCAATAGGTCTAAAAACCTGGATTCAATCTAAACTTCACTTATTTTTATGCTGCGGTATACAAGTTACAGAAAAATATATTATTACTGTTTGCACCTCCTATATGAAGTGTGCCTTCTGCTACCTTGTAGAAGACGCTGTTTTCAAATGTTAGAGAACACGCCAAATATTTACCATTTGGATTAAAGTTTTGCAGACTCTGTCTCAAAATGAATCATATCGACCTTTTAGGGCATGGCTCTTTCACACATCCCACCTCAGTGAATAAGCAGGTTTCCGCAGGACACCGTGATAGCTCATGAGGATTATCTTTTCTTTCTCAGATGGGACAACTGAATTGAGAGCAAGGATAAGTCTCTATAATTCCTTTCTATATGTGCAGTGTAAAAGAAAAAAGCATCTCTTTCTAGTGCAAAGCAGATAAAATTAAGAAGTTAAGTGAGACAAGGATTGTGTTTTTTGATGGGTAGAATAACCATGGCTGACAATTGGAATTAGGACTGAATAGACTGTGAGAGTGAAATGGTTGGGAAAAGTTCCCGGAGGTGTGTAGGAGCACTGGCAGCAAGTGGAATGCCTGTGTGCTGGAGAACTTGCTGAACAGGGAAGCTCAAACCAATAGGGACTGTAGATATGGCAACAGTGAGGATGACACCACAGAGAGGGACAGTGGGAAGGGATCTGACATGTTTCATTAAGAGGACTGGAGCTGGAGCTTTTGCGGCAAAGAGATTAGGAAGAATACTTGATTGATGGTTGTGTGTGAAACTGAAACTGGAAAAGTGAGAGTGTCTGAAGTTCCTGAGAAAGAAAGACTGGAGGAGTAGCAAGAGAGAGGTAGAAGGGAGTAGACTGGAAAGAAGAGAAGGCAGGTGGGACAGAATTTGGCAAATGCAGGAGGCTAACTTGCGCATAGCTCTTGTCAAATAGCTGAAGAAGGACATAAGGACTGGAGTGAGCAAAGTCGAGTGTGAGATGGAAAAGAAGAGCAGGTGTGGGACAAGCAGGGATGGGAAAGAGAGAAGACTGGGATACAGAGAAATTTGTAGAGAATAGGATAAAAGGGCTGAACTCGTGAGAGGGTGAGCTTTGCTGGGTGTCCATTTACTGTCCAGGATGTAGACAGCCCTGTGTTAGATCACTCCAGGCTTCCAGTAAAGACTAACTGGGAAACCCTTTGGATATTGTGCCTTCTTGTTATATGCCTCCCATACATAGATGGATCACCTGCTGTTGCTTAGCTCAAATAGCAGGCATTTGGAAAAGTTCACTTTGAGGTTCTAGGCGTCCTCATGAGTGCCACATAATGACATTCTGGAGAGAAAGAGGACTGGAAGAGTTCAGTGTTCTTTTAAGAAAACAAACAACCACACAAACAGGGAAACCACATTAAAAGAATTTTACTTAGACCACAAAGTCAAGCACTTAGAAGATGGGAGGCATCAAAGTTTCATTGCCTTTGGACTATCAGCTCATGACTTTCAGGCATGAATTATAGGACAAGATTCAGTTACAAAATCACAAGCTCTCTTGCTAATAGAATCATTGTGTAATTTCTTGCACAGTATAGATACATTGGTTTGGGAGTGATTCAAGATTATGGAATGAAAAGGCAGCTCTTCCGGCAATCAGACTTCTTATTTAGGCCACAAACTTCTAGGCAGTCATTATTCCTAATTATTGGCTCTACATCATATCAATGAAGTATCACAGATGTAGTAATTTCCTTATATATTTGTAGCATGGTTATTTTTCTTTAGCTTACGTATCAAGTTGACATTACACCAAGTTTCCTAGTAAATGCTTTTCAAAGTTTATTTGCAAAAATTAGAATGCACCCTTGCAACATTTTTTTTTTTTTTTTTGTTATTTAAGAAGTTAACCAACAACATATTTAGTTAATTCTCTTGTGTGGTTAACTGTTCAGCCAAAATGAACACTGGAAGCACGTATTGCTTAACGTTCTGGCTGAGGATATGAAATCAATACAGTATAACATGTATCTGTTATATATGTTCTCTCAGCTAACATTCATTCTTCTTCTCAGCCTTGCCTCATTCCACGACAGATCACTACTGGTATAATTAAGATCTCATATTTTAGGCTCATGTTGCAATACGAACAGAGGAGAATATATCAGAAGGCTCTATACATTCTCTCTCCCCTCTCATCCCCCAGATGACATCTGCTGTGGAACTGGAACAAACTAGTTTCAACCAATCTTTAGCTGTTCCTTATGTGGGATTTCCATTTTGGAAGAAATCAGATGCCTAATAAATAATCCCTGCCATGAGCTAACTGAGACCGAGACTATTGAAGTTATTTGAAGCCTATTTATAATGGAATGCTTGATTAAAGTCTGAAAAAATAGTTAATTTAGTATCAATATACAGTATCTGTGTGTGTATATAAGTACACATTTGCAGACATGTACACACTGTATATAAACCCATTTATATGTATGTAGTGATGGAAAATTTTCTTTTTTAAAACCAAGAGATATTCAGATTACATAGTTCAGCAGATCCGCTAAGTAATACCACACTAAATATTTCAGCCTCAGATGTTTGCAATCGCTACAAATTAACCTTCACAAATGTAACTGAAATATAATTTAGTCCTTTGTTTATCTCTGATTTGTGTAATAGGACTTGACATCTGCTTCCAATTAGAAATTTTTTTCAGAGAACATATTCTTCCTTTCACCATTCTTGTGTTTGTAATAGCTTTTGCACATGATCCAAAAACTTTAAACAAAGAAATGGTAGTATTTTTCGTTTAGTAAATGTCAGCTGTTGTTATTCTAAGCAATAAATAAGCACTTATCATAAGTGTGAGTTTTTTTAGAAGTACAATATATAAGATTTTACTTTGAGCAAACCTAAACCATTAATTCAAAAGCAATTTAAAATCAGCTGTGTTTGTAGTGTACTTCTGCAAATGTAATGGCTAAGAAATATAATATTAAATTGGAAGAAACAAAGTTAAGTTTCAAAGATCTAAAATTAAGTCTACCATTTTTATTTTCTTTGAGGAGCTTGAATATGCTTGCTCTCTGTATTTTCCTACTGATTCTGTTTTTATGAGTAATCAAAATGGTGAATTTATTGAGAGCACATTCCCAGAGTACTACATCTTTTCCAAATATCTGTCTAAGTCCAAGCAGTTGTGGCAGGAAAACAATGCATGATACGAGAGATGCAGTTTTCTGCTCCTTCACCTTTCCTTCTTCCCTATGGATCATTAGTTGACCTTATCTAAAAATATTTTTTTTGCAGGTGACATGGAAATGCCCAAATCAAACGAAGCTGCCTAAAGATTGTTAGCCGCCACTTAAATCCACATTTCTCTTTGTCCTGTACAATGGAGGAAACCCTTGCAGATATGCTAGAAATTCAACTTTATTAGAATTTTTGTGTGTTTGTTTTGGGTTTTTTTTTGTATAAGGGAGCATAAACCAGGTTTCAGTAAAGGATGTTTTGGATCACTTGCTATATGGCTATGGCATGATTTTCCCTGGGCTGATTTTACTCACTTAACTGTGTTCTGTCAGTGAATCTCCTCCATGTGGTGGGGATACCATTAAGAAGCAAAAGCCTTGCACATGATAAATGCAGAACAACAGATACTGGGTTTTAGTATTTACTAGGCATGGGTTTTTAATTGAACAGATTTCTCTGTCATGATCCTGGATTTCCTGCTTTCTTGCTTTAGCCATCTGTCAGCAACTGTCAAGTGAATCACCACACAAAAAAATTTTTTTCCTTGGAAACTGTATTTTTAAAAGCAGTTTTAGACCATGAGGCTGGTCTGTAATAATAAATAAGAAACTGACAGCTTTCCTGGTATGGGGGAATGGCAGAAGGCCTGTACAGCCCATCAACTTTCCTAATTGCCCTGGCTTCAGGCCATGCCACAGCTGAGAGGATGTATTCTCAAGTTGATGTAAGCAAGCAGCGTGGGCCAGCTGGTCCCCAGAGACTGGGAGCCAAGCGTGGTAACAAGGCTGGTAGGGCAGGGGCCAGGCCAGCAAGGGCTCCATCCTGCAGGGCACAAGGGAGAGGGCAGGGCAGGCCCAGGACCAGCAGCTTGGGTCAGCCCACAGTCGAGACCTTCAGACAAGCCTGTGGCGATGAGGCACAGGCATATCCACAGTGATGAAGCCAGACTGAGGCTAAGTCAGGAATTCGACCCACAGGTCAGGAACAGGTCTGGTGATGGTAACCAGGGTCAGATGCTGCCTAGTGATCAACAGGCAGGACCGTAGAGATGAAACTGTGCTGAGGTCAAGCTGGGAAGTAGTCCACGGATCAGGGTCTGGATCAATGAGGTCCATGGCCAAGCACAGGCATGGTTGTGACAGAGCTGTAAACAGGCACACATACAATCAATCCAGCTCAGACAGGTTCTGAAGGCCCTGGGTTGACCTGAAATGAGGCTTCTAGGACCACAGGCAGGGGTGTGGTTGGAAGTCCCTGCTGAGGTTGTTCAGGACCATTAATGCCAGTTAGTGCCTTCAGGGCCTTGAGAGCTAAATTTTGACCAGATCTTGGAGAGTATGAAGTTAAAGAGAGAGGAGCATTTGAGTTGGATAAGCAAGCAGCAAAAAGGAAGAAAAGCTGTGTGTTAAGTTGGGCAACATGAATGTAAGTCCCAGGAGAAGGGGCAGCTGCATTAAGTAGCAAATCTTGCTGGAGATATTCTTTTCATGGACAATTTGGAGTCAGCTGGTAAGACAGGAACCACCCTGACCAGCCTCCTCTTCTTGGCTCCCATACAGCACATAGCCTTTTATTTGGAAGGGCTTGCTACCTCTTCTCTTCCATTTTGCCTTCCCCGTGCCCTTGCCCCCAGAATCCCCTGAAACTCTTGCTTCTTTGGATTTTACCCCTTCTGTTCCAACTTCTGAGACCTCCACTCCTTAATCCAAAGAGTCAAGAGAGTGGGGCTGAGGGATATTCCAAGCTTCTTAGAGCAGCTGCCATCCCAGTCAATTGTATCTGTTTCCCACATCTCTGTGTTCTAGCCTCACAGGAGATGTGAGCCATGATGCAGAGCCCAAGCTAGTAAGTTTGACAATTCAATGGCTTCTTCTCCTTGACTGTGGCAGAAGTACCTCACCAAGTCATTGTCTTGCCAGCGTAACCTTAACAAAGCAGAATTCGGTCTTCTTTAACTTAGATGTGGTAGTATACGTAAAGGACCTTGAGCAGGCTTTAGGGGAGGGAAATTGTTGCTTCCATTTTCTGTTCACAGTACGTACTAGAACTTTTAATTGAACAGCTATGCAAGAGCACACTGAGTACTCACCAATACAATCATAATGAATTGATTGCTCTGTGAGAGACATAATTAATATGAATCACATGACGCATGTGAAAGAGGACAGGAATTCTTGAGCTTCGCTGGCTGAAAGTACTGTCTTGCTCTGTTGGGGTGTTGGGACTTTACTGTGTCAGGAAAGCATACTAGCTCATTTGCTTCATGCTAAGAGGCTAGGATAATGCCTATGGTGTGAGCCAATTCTGATTTTTCAGTGTCTCTGCTAGAACTGCGTTGCAGACCTATTTTACTGAAATAAATCATGGTGTTTGTGGGATTGTTAAATTGTCTTCTGAACGTTTGGGAGCCTAGTTTATATTTTACCAATTACATTTTTAAAATACCTACATACTTGAATAATATATGGTAGTATAAGGAAAAAGAACATGGAAATGTAGAGGGAAAATTATGCTGCATAATACAAAAACTAATTTGCAAATTAGAAGCATGGAAAAAAATTTCTTTGTCACATTCCATAAAGTGCAGTTCTTCCAGCAAATGTTTTACTGTTTTTTTCCATTCATTGAAATTAGTGCTTGAATGTTTCTATTTTGTTATTTGTCTTCATTAGGCTTCTGGGCTCGTGACATAGGCAAGATGATTGGCCTGCAGCACCCTCTCATACCTGTTCATCATCAGTATGTTGTGACTTCAACTATCCCTGAAGTGAAAGCTCTAAAAACAGAATTGCCTGTGATTCGTGACTTAGAAGGGTCATATTATCTAAGGCAAGAAAGGGATGGTCTTTTATTTGGTCCTTATGAAAGCGAGGAGAAGATGAAGCTGCAGGACTCATGGGTAACAAATGGAGTCCCTCCGGGTAATTAAGAACATTAAATCTTTAAACTTGATAAGCACTAGCACACATTTTAATATGTGTAAATCTCAGCTTGTCAAGCTGCCTTATGTGAAGGAAAATAGAAAATATTTGAAATGCATGATTGTAATGCAGAAACTTTTTTTCAGATAATATTCATGACTAATGATGAGAGTGAATAGAAATAAAAATGTAACATAATGAAACGCCTGTTTGAAATAAGCACAAGATACACATCCACAACATAGTCTTACCCTGCTCCACCAACAGGTGCCTGTGAGTTGTGATTAGATGTAATCACCAAATTACATCTGATGATTTGTTATGTAGCCATTTACAGCTGAATAGGGATTTTTCTAAGCCATAGTCCTCTCCAACATACTGACAGGGGCCCTGGATTTTTGTTGTTCTTTCAGAGATAATGTGATAGTCAAATAGGAGCACAGTTATAGGAAAGGAATGTCTTAGGCAAAATGCTGTGCTTGCATAGAAGTGCAGGACAGCTATAGATTTGTACAGAATTTTTGTACAAAAAAATCAGTGTCATACTGATGCTAATTTTTTTTTTTTTTAAATTGCTCTTATATATAGGCTCCAGCTTTCCATTCACTTCTAGACAGAAAGTTGTATTAAGTCAATGGTGTTGCTGTTTAACATGTTTCCTAAGAAAGAGCAGTCAGCATTGTTGGGCTTTGGATTGCACTGTCACAGTTTCCTGAAATTACTGTCTCCAGTAGTGTCAAGACCCCCCTCTACAAAGTGATGTTCAATAATGCTTAGAGCCCAGACTGAAGGGTGAAATATATCTAGAAATTTACTAAGCACTATGGATATCATATGCTGACACAAGCAGTATCTTTCTTCACCTCCCCAAATTGTTGGCGTATTGAGAAAAATAAGTGGGTCTTATTAACACAGAACAAAGTTTCTGTGTTTCTTCACTTCCTTTTTACTTCACTGTTAAATTTATGTGACCTTAGGGTTAAACAAATATGTTTAAGGGATGATATAACTGCAGTGACAGAAAAAATTCATAGTGCATACCATTTTTCTCATGGAGTATGGTGAGGGCTTGAACATCCTCACTGGTTAACTGCATATAACTTTTATGTGTGTAGATTGCATAACTGCATTTAAAATGGAAGTATTTTCAGTGTATTTAAGTATATAATAAGAGTCAAATATCTGTGCAGGTTTTGGAAAAGAACTTTTTGAGTCTGATTTGGACAGAATAATGGAACATATTGAGGCTGCTATGGAAATGGTCCCCGTTCTGAAAAAAGCAGACATCGTAAATACAATTGCAGGTCCTATCACCTACTCTCCAGACATTCTTCCTATGGTGGGACCACATCAGGGTGTCAGAAATTACTGGGTAGCTATTGGTTTTGGGTGAGTAAATTCTTTGTGACTGGTTTTGTCTGTCATATTGTTAAAGTGTCAGTCAGCTCAAACTTTCCACACTTTTATGAGTTTAGGGGTTGTTTTGCATGTAATTTATGTAAAATGTAATTTGAAATAGTCTTAATTAACACCACCTACATAACAGAAGCTCATCCTTCTTTCTTCTTCGTAACACTACCTTTTCAGTTTGATTCCTCCTTTTATTCAGGAGGCCAATATCTATGACACTTTCTGAAGCAGTGAGAAGTGGGTGCTCTGTGGTACTATCTGTGCAGCAGGTTATAGTCCTAAAAGTGCTGGGTTTTTTCTTTTTTTTTTTTTCTTACTTTCCAGTTCATTTTATGTGTTGCTCTAAATTGAAGTGTGTTCAACAGATCTTATTTGTGTGTAGAAACTGGTATCACTGAAGTTGGGCAAGAGTGAGTGGTACAAGGAGAACTTTTAACATGAAGTAGTTAAAAGTCACTCTCAGGTGTAGAGTTGAAGGCGTGCTAAGCAGACATGCTTACTGGGCATGTAGTCACCCAGCATACTGGGTGATTGACTGCTCTAGGGTTACAAAGACAGTAAGGGTTCTAACTGTAGAAGGTTGAGCATGTTGCTGGGTGTTGGAGGAAAGCAGATGAAGAGAGCAGTGTGGCAACAGAAAAGAGTGTTTTACTGGTGTCATTCTTCTGCCTGTTATGATATTTTCTTTGAATGTGATTTACAACTTTCATACTTTGGCCACACTGAAGTCAATGGTAAAACTGACTGACTTCTCTTTAATCGCCTTAGTTTGACCATTGATTCAAGATGGATGGAATGAACTTAATACAATTCCTAGCACATGTTATTGGACACATTATGGTTACATTGCCTTTTCAATTGCCTAATTTGCTGTTCAAAATCCATCTGAGTATTTTTTTTCAGTTTTCTTTCAATCCAAATCAAACAAACCCTCAGATCAGCAGATAAGGCAGTATCACTAACATGCTTTCCGGAGCCCTCAAAATAAAAGGGTTTGGTAATTTTGCAATGATTCATTGTGAAAGGGATTCACCTTTGCTGCTTGGTTTTTAAAAAAAAAAAAAGCTATCTTTTAGTAACATTTGCAGAACTTACAGTTACAAAAGTGGTTTGCCTAGTCCTTATTCACCGAAAAGACTATTTAAGTTCATTGCTCTGCTGCCAGACTTTGGAGCCTGTTTTCCTTCATTACTGCCAACGGGAGCAGAATCAAAGTTCCTTATAGGACAAACTGAAGATCAGTGTACGTGTTGTAAGTTTCTTTAAACAAGTTATGTCAGGAATTTCATTAATGTCTAAATGTTTAGACACAGATTGCAATTATGTTGCTGTCATTGGATTGCTTTGTCTGCTTTTCAGGGACTTTTGACTCTCTGTTCTATGCTTCTGGGTCAGTGCAGTGTTTCTACCAGTGTTGTAATTTTTTGTGTGCATTAGCAAATCCTTATCTCATAGTCAACCAGAAGGGACATTGTGACAGAGGACTTAGTGCTGTTAGTTTAGAGGATTTTTATTATCTAAAATTAGCAGTTTGCTAGGCATTTTAATGTGCAAAGAAGTATGGTTAGCAGAGCTTATAGCACTGTTTATTATCCAAGTTTTTCAGTGCTGTTTCTTCAAGGGTTTTTCTATTGTGCTTCCGACATTTAATTACTTATAGCTTCAAAAGTGTTAACTAGAGTAGGCTAGATTTTTTACACAGAAAAGTTTCAGTCAGAGCAATGTAACCATTCCAAAGAATGAGATTGTTGGAAATTAGGTATTTTTGGTGTTAAGGTTTTTGGGGTGCAGCTTTTCTTTTGAAGAGCTCCCAACTTGCTTAGACTGAACTGAACCTTTGGCATAAGTCACCTTTCTCCCCAGACAGGCCTTTCTGCCATTCTCCGTAAAATCTATCTGTGAGGCCTGTTCACAAGCCTTTATAAATGTTACAGATCATAAACACTTAATAGAGGCTCACTAAATCTTGCACAAAGATTCCTGCACTCTGTCTGCAGTAGTATTCTACAGCCACAGACTGAACAGGAGTTTTCCTGCACAAATGGGATAGAAAAATGACTAAACCTGGGACAGGGATGCTAGAAAGGGCCATAGTGTGCAGGGACTCAGATTTCCCGGGAAAAAGGAATAGAATGAGTCAAAAGTCAGTCAGAAGCAAGGACTCATAAACAATTAAAACACAAGAATAGGGCAGGGACTAAAGGGAAGATAACCTGGCAGGGATTGGAAGGAGAGAAGAAGAAAAGAGAAGGGCAGTTGTGTTCATCAAGGAAATTATCTTTAAATCCTCATAAGAAGACTGAGATTCCTAAACTCTTTACAGCTACTTGTAATATCCTATTCTAGCACAAGCAGGTGTTTCATTCTGGTGTAGCAGAACTGCATTGGATATATTAATACAAACAGCTCCCCATTACCTCAGGTAATGAGGCATTTGGGGACCCTGTGTGATTTAAAACCTCTGATAATGTAGGCCTAGCTAGAAGCACCCGAATCAACTGGTTGCAGAGTCCATGCTGCAAAGTTCTGCAGAGTGCCCAAGTGCAGCTGGTGTATCAGTAGCAGCAGCTCCAAACTTCTGGGCAACCTCCCCAGCTATCTTGCTCATGGGGTTGCCCTACCATCAAAAAAACTTCGTGGTATTTGGCTTGTCGCCACCCACGGTCACGCAGTGGTCTCTGTGCTGTGTTCCTCTGTGCTTTTGGCTGCAGAGAACAGTGCAGGAGACTGGCTAAAACTTCTGGAAGGCATCATAGCCACAGTCACCAAACTTGCATCCGTGAATAACTAAGAGTTGTCTACTTAAATTCACACCAGGGGCTAACTCTTGTGTGTAGTACTTGTGCAGTGGGAGTCTGCAAGCACTCATCCTTACTGCATCAGCTGTGGTGATAGAGGACTGTGCTGAGAGTGTGAAGATTTGTGCTGAACAGCCTAAAGAAATGTGCTTGACAGAGTTACTTCATCTACTCAGCTGTTAGGTATTTGCTTAATTTAAATAAATAAATTACAGATAAACCCCTACTATATCAAAGGATTCTCAGATATTATGAAGTCAGGCATTCTACAAGTGCCAGAACTAAGTTGTCTCTGTAATCTGCATTCATTCTTATGCATATGCATTAGAATCAAATGATCACTTTTTTTTTTCTTTTCCCATAAAATCCTTGCCTATTTAATTTGGGATATAGAATTCAGAATGCAAAGTTGATGAGCAGCACTTCAAGTTTGTTTTACTTTCACTATTGGCCCATGATATAATTGCTGCATGCTAATCTAAACTTAGTTTTGGACAGACTTGCTGCTTCTTGAAGGATTTTTCTATTGGGCTCATGGAGGCATTTCACAAATAACTAAGTTATTTTCCAATCTTTGCTAGACAGGAATTTTGAAACTTTTTTTTTTTTCAACATGCCAAACTAATTCACAGAGGTATTAAAATAGAGAGTTTTAAATAATTTAGTATAAATTATTATTTCTCACTAAATGTTTAGGCATCAAATCTGAGGTGCCTGTGATTTAGCATTGCATGGTACTGTTTAGTGGAATGTAGAGTGAGTGGCGACAAACACATACTGCAGCACAACAAAGTCCCTTATCCCCAGTTTTCCAGGTGCCTTCCAGAAGCAGATTTCACACACAGCTTTTTCCCTGTGGATGTCAAGATCTCAAACATTTTGAAAGTTAGAGTTATGTACAAAATGTTTAAGTAAAGAAACCTTAAATCTATCACTTCAGAACTTTTAAGCATTTACCTTTGCTGTCTGATGTGGTTTCTTTAAATGCAGGTTTCTAATAAGAGATCTCCTCTACAGTCATCTACACTCATGTAGAAACAGGACAGGCTTTTGCTACTGACTAATAGCAGGAAAAGTTTGTTTGCATAAGTTTTCTGGAACCATTTCTCATTGTAGTTGTTATGTAGAACAGAGGAGGTAAACCTGGTGGGAAAAGAACCTCTCAAACTCTGGCACCAGAGTCTGCAAACAAGTCTTCCAGTTTTATCTCCACTTCCTCTGCGTTCATTTTTCTGTGGAGCAATAAAAAATTACTGATGGTATTTCAGCTTTGGTGAAGCTATCTCAGTATTGTTGCCTCCTCACTTTTGTTACTGTTGCTCTTGTCACTGTACCATAGATAGTCACTGTAGCTGCTGAAATGTCTGAGTCTGATTTTAAAATCTGAGTGTGGTTTAATTAAAGTTGATTGAAAAAGAAAAGGTATTTTATGACTAGAAAGTGTATTTGGCAGGTATCAGAAGCTTGAGAACTTTCTTTAGCATTAATTGCTAAAAAGTTCTAATGTGCCTGGGAAAGGTTAAATTCTGAACTTCAGAGAAAGAGCTTGCTATAATCTCAAGCACCGCAACTATTGTACATTAACAGTGGAGTTCTGCTACTGACAGTGGGGCAGTAGAAGTGTCAGTCACTAAAGTTATGTAATCTTGGAAAACAAGACAAATTAGGACAAATGAACAGTCCAAGAAAACAGAAGGAAAGATTTAAAATACTTTAGGTGGGATATATTAGTATTATATGATAGTACCAATTTTTAAAAACAAAACAGGCTTGGCATTGCAAGTTTTTCCTGTTTTTAAGGTATGGCATTATACATGCTGGTGGCATAGGAAAGTACCTAAGTGACTGGATCCTTGATGGGGAACCTCCATTTGACCTGATAGAATTGGATCCCAACCGCTATGGAAAGTGGACCACCACAGCCTACACAGCAGCCAAAGCAAGAGAATCGTATGGTTTTAATAACATTGGTAAGCAGGTCTTTCCTAAAATACATTTGTGAACTAAAGATGGATCCCAGCAACGCCTGCCTCTAGATTTCTTTTTATATACACGTATTCTGTCTTGGTGATGATCTTAGAATGCCATGGCTTTTGATTTGATTTGTTTTGGTTTTTTCCTCTTCTAGTTGGTTACCCTAAAGAAGAACGTTTTGCTGGGAGACCAACAGAAAGAGTTAGTGGGCTGTATGATTTGCTGAAGTCAAAATGTTCAATGGGCTTTCATGCAGGATGGGAGCAACCTCACTGGTTCTACAAACCTGGAGATGAGACTGGATACAAGTAAATGAAAGATTACT